AGGACGAGGATGACAGTGCTGCGCAGGAAGGAGTGCTGGTGCGGCCGCAGCTTGTAGTCAGGGCAGTTAATGAGCTCAAGCGCCATTTCCTCCTGGGGAGGGCACCAGGCATGCCTCAGACACTAGGACCCATGCCTCAGACACAGGGACGCAAGCCTCAGGCACAAGACTGCATGCCTCAGACACACACAGGGACACACGCCTCAGGCATGGGGACACATATGTGGGCCACACAGGTCACTGGGAGCAGACAGCCCTCACCTGGGTTGGGCCTCAAGTCCTGCCACCAACCCTGCCTCACCTGTTCCTCGTCCCACCCGTACAGGTCCCAGTGCAGGACCACGCGGGCTCGCTTCCTCTTCCAGATCTCCAGGAACACCGTGGCTGCAGCAGGAGCAAGGAGGGGTGTCATGGCTCATCCTTGGGATGGGCCTGGGAGTGGCCCTCCCCACAGACCCTTCCCAGAGGTGCCCACAGAGACTCACCCCACAGAGCCATGAAGATGGCAAACAGCACCGTGCCCTCGTTGTCGAAGAGGTGGGTGAGCTGGGGAAAGCGGTGGGTGGGTGGGTGGGCTGGGGACTGGCTTCCCACCCGTCATCCCCAGGTGGGAAGGGTGAGCCCAGCTCTGCAAGGCTGCATGCCCCATCTTCCCCGTGTTTAGGCGGACAGGCCGTGCCAGCCTAACGCAGGCCCTGGGTGGACCCCCGTGGTGGCAAACCTTGGCAAAAGTGCAGGTATCCGAGAGCCGCTGGTACCTGCGGCTGTGGTCGCCAAGAGGACACATGAGGATGTCGTGGGCCTCGCAGATCTCCTTGCTGGGGGTGCAGGGATGGGGCTTGCACCATCTCTGCCTGGATGCAGGGTCTGCCCCAGCTCAGCCCCGGCCCATGGCTCCACCCCAGCCCCAGCCCCGGCCCAGCCCCGGCCCCAGCCCACCTGATCTGGCTGGCCTCAAACAGAGAGAACCCACTCAGAAAGACGACAAGTCCCACCAGGGCAGCGGGTGCCAGCATGTAGGTGTACCAGCCCAGCCAGGCGAAGTACAGAGCCACCTTCTCACCAAAGTAGTCCCTGCAAGCACAGCTTCCCCATCAGGGCCACCCTCCACCCAGAGTTGCCGTCACAGGGACCAGTGCCTGGGCGAGGCCTGGCTACATGAGGAGGGGCAAGGACTGTCATTACTGACCACATAAGTGAGTCCAAAGGGGAAGCACATCTGCGGGGGCATGAACGGGTGTGTGGGGACACAGGAGTGTCTATGGGGTGTGGGTGTGTCCATGGGGTGTGGGAGTGTCTGTGGGGCACGGGTGATCTGCGTGGGGCACTGTTACCTGATATTGTCAATCGGTTGCTTGCAGAACATTTTTCTCCACTGGGCCCATCCCGTCTTCAGGTCTTCCTCCCCCTGAGCACAGGTGACAGGCAGTGACAGCTTCCTGCTGCCGCAGCCCCTCCCTCAGGCCCTCTCCCAGCCGGCCCACTCCCTCACCTTGTGCAGCGGGAACCTGGTCTCAAAGACCCGGTCCTTTACCAAATCCTCGAATGTCTCTGAGGATCACAGGGAGTTGCAAGCAGAGGGGAGAGAAGGAGGAGGGGACGTTGCCTGCTGTGCCACAACGGTGCCCTCCTGCCACCTGCCCATCCTGTCCTTACCACCAGCTGCTGTCTTGCAGTTCAGGATGAAGTTCACGATTCGGATTCTGAAACCCAACAGCGGCATCAGGGTGGCCCAGGTGACCTCCAGGTCTTGAGCTGTCCTGGCAGAGCCGCCAGCCCTGCAGCCTGATCAGAGCCAGGATCCACAACTCGCCTGCCCTGCCCAGGGGCCCCCGCTCCTCCGCGCACCATGCTCGGCCCTGCACATCCCTCCCAGGCACGCGGCCTGCACGCCCCACCTCCACACACACCTCCCACAAGAGCCCCGTGCGCACTAACCCTCTTCATGCCCCGTGTGAGTCGCCTGTCTGTGTGGAGACTGAGGCTCAGAGAGGTTGAGTGACTTGCCCAAGACCACACAGCCAGGATGTGACTGCACATCCTCCCCCGAGTGCCTAGAGGACACGGGCCCCCAAGTCTGCTCCTCGAAGCCCCCGTCAAGCTGCCTCACTCGTCTCACTCTCCCTGCTCCTCCCTGAGACCCACCGTCCTGTGTTCGCAGGCTGCCCCCCACCCCCCACCTCATAACCAGATTCCAGGAGCTGAGCTCTGAGGGGACCGGGTGGGGCTGGACAGGGGAGGGGGAAGATGAGGGACGTGGAGGTGCCTGGGGAGGGAAGAGGCTCTGCCTGCCAGGCCTGTGGTCTGGGGGTCGGGGAGGCCAGGGACAGATGCCCAGGGAGAGGCTTTCGACCTGGAGAGGAGGGGCCTGTGGGATATGACAGCCTCGGACTCCAGGAGGGATTGAATTCTGCGACCCCGGGAGCAGTCACATGGAACTGTCAGGACACTCCAAGAGGTGAGAAACTGAGGCACTGGGCCCTGCTCGCACAGCCTCTCACCTTGTGGTGGCTGGGATGGGGGCTGGCCTGGCCAGCTCAGCTCTGGGGGCAGGACCCTCGGGCTCCATGAGGAGGGTGCGGTAGAGATCGAAGATCGTGTTGTCGGCTCGGATCCCAAAGAACACTTGTTTCTGATCCTCTATCACCTGGGGTGGTGTGGGGTACACAGGGGACCCTCTACTCCACCTCAGAACTCTCCCCCCACCACTCCACAGCCACCAGCCTGTCCCCTGCAATTCAGGCATAAACAACCCCCTCCCCAGGATCCACCTGGACCCATGATCTCTGCCTCTCAGAGGACACCAGCCCACCTTGAAATGGAAGCCCTTCCTCCCGAGCTCCCCCAGGAACTGCCGCTGCTGATGCACCTGCTTGGGGTTTCTCTGGGTTCGATGATCGGCCACCAGGACATAGTCCCACTGCTCAGTGGGCTCGGTCTGCAGGAAGGAAGTGTAGGGTGGGGACCAGGTGCAGGGCACAGGGAGCGGGGAGGTGGCAGGGGCCGAGCCCAGGTGGTCCGAGCAGACACCCACCTCGCAAGTGTTGATCTCCATCAGTGGGAAGTTGTCCCCTTCCAGGATCTGGACTGTCTCTTCACCCTGGGGGTTGGGGACAGGCAGAGGGGTGGAGCAACATCTGGGCCAAGTGCATGGCAGGGGAGGGTGGGAAGGTGGTGGCTGCAGCAGACACCCAACAGAAGTCTGTGCGGACACCGCAGGGCTCCTGCAGAGCCACGAGAAAGGACGGCCCAATTTTGTAAACGGGCAAAAGACGCAAACAGGGGTTTCCCAGAAGGGAATCATGATGAGCCACTGACCGGCCTCGGCCTCGGGACGGTCAGGAAAACGCAGGTCGGCTGGCCAGGGGCGCCAGTCACGACCTGAAGGGCGAGCAAGAGCCAGGGCAGCCGCGTGCTGCTGGCAGTGTGCACGGCAGTGTGGGAATTTGGAAAGCTGCATCGTGCTTACCGGTGAACACTCCTAGACCCTACGGTGTGGCCCACCACCCTCGCCATTTCATATCAAAACCGTGGAAATAACCCCAATGCCCATCACTGGGAGGACAGAGGGAGACACGATGCTGCCTCTACACGGCAAGGACCGTGCAACGGGCACTTGGGACCCACAGCGATGCGGGGAGTTTGGGAAAGTCCAGTCCTGCGAGAACCCACAGGAGTGGCTGCTGCAGGCACGTCCGGGACAGACAGATGCTAAAATTGGCGGGCGGGACTGTTGGGAGGAGCAGGCTCAGAGACACGGGGCTGCAACTGCTGTGGCCACGTCATGAGTTCCCAATGCTTTAGGGACATTAGTCCTCCCTC